ATCGTTGATCGGTCCTGTGGAACCAATGCCCCGTCCTCTCGAGGACGCGTAGTCAATGGTCTAACCGCTAAGGCATGCAAAATATATAGAGTACGCTCCCCCCCCCCCCCCCCCCCCCCCCCCCCCCCCCCCCCCCCCCCCCCCCCCCCCCCCCCCCCCCCCCCCCCCCNGGCCAGCCACGAGTCCGACCCCTCGCGGTATCTGGCCCGCTGCATTAGCGAGGAACGGGCCACGGACCCCCGCACGGAGGCGGAGAAGCGCCAGAGACGGCAGGAGGCGATGCCGCTGTCCACGTTCGCATGGTTCTTGAGGGAGGTGCAGGGGGAGGACGTGTCTGATGAGGTAGGTGGGCGGGGGAGACGTGTGTGGCGGTGATTGGTCGAGGACGTTTGAATGGGGGGCGATTCCGCTGCTTCGGCCGAGGGGGGGGAGTAGCGTGTCGTTGCTTGAGCATGGGTAGGGGGATCTCGATACGCCCTTTCTTTCTGCAGCGGGTGGTGGATGTAGCCTCGTAGGTCTTGCTTTTTATGCTTGGTCTTGTTACGCCGCTGCTGTTCGCTTACTTTCTCTTCTTTTTTTTCTTGCAGCGGGTGGCGGAGCTAGCCTCGGAGGCCACCTGTCACGGAAGCGACAGCATGCTCTCCTACCGCGCGTTCTTCAACTACATCGGGAGCGTGAATGACAACTCTCCCGTAGATACCAAAACGGTGTCCGAGGTGTATCAGGTGCGAACGGTTGTTGTTGCTGTATGTTGTTGTCGTTGCTGTTGTTGTTGTTGCTGTCGATGCTTTTGTTGTTGCACAAAGTCCAAGATACGCCCGTATCCTACAACCGCAAAACCGAAAATTGAAAACGCGACGAGGTTAACTACAAAATGCAGATCTACAGTTATTCCACCGTGAATCGACAGGTGAAACAATAACAATTTAGATGCAGTTCATGCGGCGGATACTCTCTTGCGCCGTGCTTCTTAGTTTTTGTTGTGCTTTTATTCTTTTGCCTGTTTCCGTCGTGCAGGACATGAGCCAGCCTTTGTCCCACTACTATATTGCGTCAAGCCACAACACCTACCTCGAGGGGGACCAACTGCAGAGCAACTCGTCTGTCAACCGGTACGTGTCCCGCCGCATGGGGGAAATGCATTTTTTTTTGTGGCGGTTGGCATCACAGGGCACGGTAGGCGGCCATGTAGGCCACTTGGCTTCTGCTGGCAGACGCCGACCAGTATGGGATGGATGTTGATAGGATGTGCTGCTGTTGATGCTGACGGGCATTGAAGGTGATCATCATGCATTCGCTCGGGGAAACATTCACGACATACGGTTGGGGATGACATCAACAAGAACGGATACTGATGACGACGACAACGCAAGCTAAGATGCAATAAATGACGACGCATGGGAAGGGAATGTATGATGCAGCAACTGATTTGAGAATAATTCGATGGTGACGTCAATGACCGCTCCCGTGCCCTGCCACCGCTGCGATATGTACGTCTCGTCACATGATAGGTATATCAACGACCTTTGCAAGGGATGCCGGTGCGTGGAGCTGGACTGCTGGGATGGGGACGACGGGGAGCCTTTGATTTACCACGGCTACACGCTCACCGGAAGAATACTCTTCGCTGACGTCATACAGGTTAGTGACGTGTTCCAGATTGGTAACGTGATCGAGGTTTGTGACATCACGCCCAAAGCAATATTGAGAGCTGTGTTTTCGACAAAATAATTTGTTGCGTAACAAGAAATAGGTATCAATATACGAAAGCGCTGTCCAAGTTAGTGACGTCACGCTCTGAGTCAGAGCGAAAATAATAGAAGCGCATGTGTAGCTTTTGGTTTGTGGCCACCTCCCGATGTTGTCGTCTTTTTATTTATTTTTCGTGATTATTTGGCGGTGTCTCTTGCACCAGTTATTGCTGTCTTGTTACAGTTGTTGTGGTTCGTTTCCTCTCCGTGTTGAACCATGTTGAACCGATTTTTCTATGTCTTGTGTGTGCGTGTCCCTTGTTTGGATCAGGCGGTGATGGACTATGCTTTCAACAAGACTGACTACCCCGTCATCCTCTCCCTGGAGAACCACTGCAGCTTGCCCCAGCAACAGAAGATGGCACAGTGAGTGCTGATGTGGATGTTGTTGTTTGTCTTGGTGCCGTTGCTACGGTTGTTGTTGTTGTTGTTGTTGTTGTTGTTGTTGTTGTTGTTGTTGTTGTTGTTGTTGATAATGATGTCAAAAAGTTGCCTCAGGTGGCGTCATGTATTTTGTCACCGATTTTTCCGTGGTAGGGTAAGCCGGCATGCTCTGTTGATTGACGGTTTTTGAGCCTGACTAAGCTGCCATCGCCACACCCGGAGGAGGGTTCTGCGGCCTTCTGCCTACAGGGCGCGGCACGTTGGGCCTGGTGTGGCGTATTTCGTCTCTTACGCCAGCTTTGGTTTTTGTACCTTTTATTTTGGTTTCTTGCAAACCCGCACGCACAGCTCCCACACTCTCCCAAGATCTGATGTTGCTGCAGTGTACCATTAGAATAATTTTTATGGGGGCAGAGTATCCTCCTGTTCCGAACCCCCCCTTTTTTGTTGTTTCTCTTGTAAAGGCGTACACACAGCTCCCACATGACCTGATTTTCCGGCCGTTTTTATGTTTTTGTTTTTGCAGGTGTAAAGGCGATAGAGAGAGAGACCGTTTTGACGCACCTCCCGCCCCGTTTTTCTTGAACCAGGTGCATGGTTCGAATTATCGGAGACACCATGGCGGTGCTGCCGGAGCTGGGAGAGGGGGACCCCCTGCCTAGCCCGGAATCATTGAGGGGGAAGATCATCATCAAGGGGAAAGTGGTCAAGGAGGGCGAGGTGAGGACAAGGATAAGGTAGCAGCGGACGTGTTCTTGGCTGAAAAGCTGTGCTTTGATGCTAGATTACGGTATGTGACATAAGATAACACACCCTCTTAGTCGATTTTCGAAGCTCGATTTCTCAACTGCAGGAACAGTCACAGCGCCGAAAACGGTGGCGCTGATGAAACCGTCTTGTCGAGAGCTTGTCGAAAATGTATCATTTCGTGTATACATCCTCGTCGTCGTGGAGTAATCGAGCTTTGAAAATCGGTCCAGGGGGTGTATTATCTTGTATCATATACGGTAGTCCACCGAGCCTTTGTGTGTGAATCAATGCGGAGGGTCTTTCATGTGTTGACTACTTGAGGCGTTACTTGGCTATCTCGCAGCCATGCCTGAGGCAATTGACCCACCGACGATCACAAGTAGAAAAGGTCGGCAACAGAAAATGGCAGCAAGCGAACACGACCTGGTGCAATCTGATTGATTCATTACACTCTGCGCGCTGGATAATGGATGAACGCATGTGATTGGTTGGTTCGGTCTTGCGGTGCGGTCTGATTTGGCTGTGGTCTCACGCACGAATCTGATTGGTCGGTGCCCACCCGTCCGCGGTGCAATCCGATGCCGGCTCGAGTTTCACGAACGAATCTACTTTTATCTGATTGATCGGTTCCGTCCCGTCCTGCTGTGTGATCTGATTCGGTACAGGAGGACGCAGAGATGGACGAGGAGGAAGACGAGGAGCAGCAGCAGCAGCAGGCGCTAGAGGCCAGCAAGTCCGGAAAGATGCCGATGCTGCGGGCAGGGTTCCGCGGCGGTGTCGCTGGCCCTGCGTCGGACTCTGCTGCCGCCGCTGGGGCGGCGACGCACAGCAGGCGACCGTTTAGCGAAAATCCTCCCCCGCCAGCGGGCAAGGTGAGCGAGACGGACGGAGACAAGGAGAGAGATGGGATCAAGACACACCGAGAGATCATGTAGAGAGAGAACAAAAGGGAGAGAGAATTGGAGAGAGAACGGGAGAGAGAAGGAGAGAGGCAGAGACAGAGACAGAGACAGAGAGGCAGCGACAGACATTCAGACGGACAGACGGACAGACAGACGGAGGCACACACAGCGAGGGAGGGGAGAGGGAGAGAGATAGGACTGAAAAAGGCTTGTAAGTCCTTGCGGAGGGGTGGAAGTCGCGACCAAAAGAGGAGTCTAACACAGCTGCCCGAATTCTCACCTACGTAACAAAAAAACATCCAGGATTCTGCCCCCCGACACGCATATTCCAGCAAAAACATTAACGTGACGACGACGAGAGTAACCATTCTTCGAAATTGAAGGAGGGGGGGGGCAGGGGGGCATTCCTTTGCAGTAGCCTTCGTAGGGTTTTTCGGTCAAGTAATCATGTTGGATGGGTGGATGAGACAATCGGGGAAGTTAGGTTACGGTTGGGGTTTGGAAATATAGTCTGCGTACCCCCTCCCTGTTCTATTTTCAAAAGGAGTATACACGCCGGCGCCGGCGAGATTCTTGCACTCGCCAGTTGAACAGTTTTTCGGTTGTGGTTGGAGGTAGGCACGAAACCAAAGCCACAGCGGGTTTCCAGCCCTCAGGCAGCACCAAGGCGCTAGGCTTCACAAGGCTTTACCCACCCCTAACCCTAACCCTATCCCAAACCCAAACCCAACACCCCAAAATGGGTTGTTATGCAGTGGGTAGGCCTAGGTCGCTGTACCGAGCTACTGGAGCGTGCAAGAATCTCGCCAGCGCTGGTGTATTTGCGCCTCGTCGTTCTATTTCCTTGCGAAGGCCGTCCTCTTTTCGTGTCATTTTTGCGTTTGTCTTATTTTGGTTCCTGCTCCACGTGTATGCACATGTAGCTCGTGGAAGGGTTTGTGTCAGAGAGAAGCAACTACGATAGTAGCTTACACATGTAACTGCCGCCACAACTTGCGGCCGACGGCGTATGGTAACATACCGCTACTCTCAGCAGGAGTGCCAATAAAGGAGGCGAGCGCTCCCGTTCGAGCGCACACGACCTACAACCATACACAAAAGTGTGTGCCTGCGTGTGTAGCTTTTTGCGGCGTTTTTTTTTTTTTTGCACTCGCTCCATGCGTAGAAAACGCCCTGTCGCAAACGTACGCGGGAGACATTATTCAGGCTTGGGATGGCCACCAGCAACGGCCAGGCGATGTCGCGAGGTCTTACACATCCATTATTTCATTTTTTCTTCACGTCTTTCTTCCAGAAAGAGGAGGAAAGAGATCGCCTCTCCACGACGACGACCACCGTTCCCACCCCCGCTGTGAAAGATGGCCGAAATAGGGGGCGCCGAATCCCACGGTTGCGGTGTCCGAAGATTAGGTGGGGGGGGGGGAAGCGGGGGAAACCACGAGAAATCGCGGAGCCCCCGGCGTTCCGGAGGAAGGGGAGCTCCGCCTCGTGGGGCTTTGATGTTGTCGAGAGCCAGTTGCCGACGAGGAGATCAAGTCAGGTGATGCCATGTCATGTCGTGTCATGTCATCCCACCCTATCCTCCTCGTCCCCTCCGTCCTTCCTTCCTTACCATACGTACGACTTGTTTTGGTGTAAGAATGGGATGGTGTTTTTTGATTGTGTGTGTGGGTTTTTCCCGCGTGGCTCGAGTGGTGTTTAACCGGCCCCCGGTTGATCGAGCGGGACGTGAAGGATGACAAAGAACACGTCGGCATCCACTTGCCTGCGCACACAGGCTCCCGTTTCGGGCGTCTTTGTGTTTTGTTACTTGGTAGAAACGGACTTGTCCTGGGCCGGTGTTTTCGCGCGATCGATGCTCTGTCTAAGAAATACGCACAAGCGAGCGAGGCTGTGTCAGAGCTGAGTTACGTTTGGGACGGATTGTTTCGAGCATAGCTCGAAGCACGCTGCTTGGGAGGATCACTAGCGAATCTCTTCCTTGGGGGGTGAGGGTGGGGTTACGGCAACAGTACCCCTTCCTGGCGTGCCACGCCATGTGCTGCTGCTGCTGCTGCTGCTGCTGCCATCCAATCACCTGTCGACCCAAACTCTATACCGCGATCTGAGCAAAGCCAGCGTGCCACCGCGCCCTTGGCCATGGGGCCGGCCCACCCCCATCGCAGCGACCGACGAACCGGAACCCATTCCCCCCCCACGCGCGAGCCGAGCGGAAAACGATTATCCCAACTCTCCCCGCCGGACCGCGGCGGCGGCCCGACCCGAAATCCCCCCGCACACGAAACAACACGAAGCGGCCGAACGAACCGACCCCGAAGGTGTAGCGGAACCCACACCGAAGGTGTAGCCGAACCCATCTCGACCGGACTTGGGCTGGCTCCACAACGCAGGGCGGGTTTTCCACCGGCCTGCGCTAGATGCTGGTGTGCTTTCTTCCTTCCCCCTGTACAGTATTCGACCGCCGATCGGCCCGACCTCCCTCCACCACTCTCTGACACTCTCTGACAACCGCGAAACAGAACGGTGTCATGTGGTATTGTGCTTGCTTGTTTGGGTTCATTAGGGTTGGAGTTTGCGAGGGGGGAGGGATATACAGTAGATTCAAGGCTGGTTTCTCCCGAGATGGTTGTTTTTTTGTTGGTGCGGGTCTCTTACGGCAGTCACGTGGCACTGCTGCTTGTCGTGATGCTCATGATTGTTTTTGTTCCCTCTTGTTCCGCATACTGGCCCGCGCTTCTGTGCGTCTCTCTCGATTTAACGGGGTATGTGTCTTGGACAGTAAAGCACATGGGCCGCAAAAAACTCCAGGGCGGAATTTTCTGCTTACACCTCTTTCTCCTGCCGTTTTCGTACTGTGCATGTACCCCCCCCCCCCCCCCCCCCCCCCCCCCCCCCCCCCCCCCC